GCCCCCAGCCCCCCTCCTACTTCATCCCCAGCGGCTTTGTCCACTTCCTGATGTTCTTCGGCCCCGCCCTAGTGGTGCCCGGCGTGTGGGCAGCAGAGCGCAAGGCCTTTGTCGTGGCCATGATGCTGACCGGCCCCATCGCCACCCAGCTCGCAAGCTACTGGGCCGCGGACGGCGAGCCCAGCTGGCGCATGGAGTGGGCGGGCGTGTGGTGCCTGTTCGCGGTCGTGCAGTGCCTGCTGGGGGTCGCTGTGGAGGGCCTCATGGGGGTGCACCAAGGCTCCATGGAGCCAGGGAACAACGGGCACAAGAGGTTTGCCGCGCTCGTGCGCGCGGGCAAGCTGTTTGGCGGCGTCAAGGGCGTCCCCGTCCCCGGCACCAAGCCTGCGGCCGCGGGCGCGGACGGCCGCCCTGTGCCAAGGATCGACGTGGCCGCGTCGCCCGCGGACTCGCCCGGAGACTCCCCGAGCGACTCGCCGCGCGCCGTGAGGCGCACGGCGGCGGCCACCCGGCTGAAGAACGGCCGGTAGACGCCCCGGGCCGCACCTGAAAATGGCCGCGGCGCGCGGGGCGGCAGCCGCGCCTGACTCTCTGTGCCGTCGGCCAATGGCCGGCACCCCTCCTGGGTGCTCCCACCGGAGCGGCACACTTTCATCATCCGGCCTTTTCGGCGGGCAATTCATTGCAATCGCACCCACATACCCACACGATCTCCAGCTCTTGGGCCAAAGCGCCCCGCCCAGTCTAAACCATCCCTGATTATACATCACCTATGCAGCCGCGGCGCCGCTTCAAGCGCGCCGTCCCAGTCGAGGACTGAGAAATGGGGTTGGGAGCTGCATGCTCTGACACTGCCGCCTTTCACGTGTGATCAATGTGGTGTGTTTTAGCGCCACCCACCCCGCGCACGAGACCTGCGCGGCCGGCGTGCCCCAGCTTCAGGCCTTGTCTCTCAGTTGCCTGGCCACGGCTGGCGGCCATAGTCGCGCGGCGGGGCCCCTGACCTATTTCCCTGCAAGCCCTATATGAGCAGCCAGCCCTTTCTTTTCTGATCTCGGCGCGGCGCCGCTGCCAGACGGCGCGGCGCCACTGTCAGACACTTGCGCGGGCCCTGAAGCGAAGCGAAGCGTTGTTTCACATTTAACACCTACACACACTGCCCTCATACTGCACAGTAAGCCCCGGGTTGCCGCCTCAGCGCACCGCCCGCAACCAGCCTAGAGGCCAAGGCACACAACTGACGGCATGCGCGCGACGGCGCTGGGCGGCGCTGCGCCTGTGCTCGGGAGAAGGCCAGTTCTTTGTTTGGGCACGTCCAGCAAGCTGTGGCATGATGGCATCCAGTTGCCGGGCAGACAGCCTCGAGCGGATGTTCTGTGTGTGAGTGTGTGCGTGTGTGCTTGTGTGCATGAAAGCACACGGGCGTGTGTGCCCGCATGCTCATGTAATAAGCTGCTGATTTCCCCCTTTCTGGTGCTGCTCCCAGCTGTCCTGCCCATGGTTCCTCCAGGTTCGCCTGCGTCTGGAGCCCAGCCGCAGCCGCAGCCGGCGGGGGTCTGTCATCATATCGGGTCCCACCAGCCGCGGTTGTGGCAGCGCAGCCGGCAACTGCGCGGTGGTAGCTGCGAGGGGCCGTCAAGGTCGGCTTCAGGGCTGGCCTCCACTAGCAGCAGCGCACCCTCAAGGCTCGGAGCCCGCACGTCAGAGCAGTCCGCATGTCTGTAGATTACTCAGTGTCTTGCCTGTTGCACATATATACTGCTGGGTTTTTGATGATAAAAACGCAGGCAGCAGCGGGACAAAGGGCTAGCATCGTGGCATGTTCAAATGAGGACAACTCACTTGCGGGTTGAGAGGCGTGGCGTGCCACACAGTGATAAACGTGGCAACGCGGCGGCCAGCGCTCTCCACTCTCTGAATCAGGTTGTAGGGTTTGATGGGAAATCAGTGTGAAGCATCGGGCCATTCCTCTAGGTTTTTCAGGAGGGACCGCGCCGCATCCGAGCCGCCCAAGCCGGGCAGCACGGCCGGCACCTCAGGCGACCAGCCCTCGCGCAGCGCGTGCATGCGCCCGATGGCAAAGGTGTTGAGACAGGTTATTTTGAGAAAAGAGAGAGGGAGAGAGAGACCATGTCCGAACAAGAGAGACGAGAAGCGGCGGCCAGGGACCAGTGCCGCAGTGCCGGGCTCGAGGCGGTTGTGTAAGGTGCCTAGTACGCTCGTCCCCGCGCCGCGGCTGGCAGGCCATTTGGCGGCGGGCCCCTTTGCACCGGCCGGCTGGGGGGCGCCCTTCGCAGCGGATCAAACATATCATAGGGGGTGCGCTGCTCTCCGGGCAGTCTCGGTCGAAAAAGATGTGAATGGTCACAGGCTAGGAGAGGGAACTTGCATACCTTGTGGCTCCAAAGCAGCAGGGCCCGATCCCGGGGCTACGGGCACGCGCGCTTGCTGCGGCACCCGCACGCTCGGCACATCGGGGAGGCACTGGGCCGCACGAGGATTGAGCCCAGCCAGCTTGTCGCTGCACGGACAATCATAAGTGACAGGGCTTGGGCGGATGCGCCGGGCATCCCGGATCGCGCGCGCGCGGTGGCGTTGGCAGTGAGTGCTGAAGATCAGAGGGGAATGACGAAAGGAGACCATGCGTGGGGCCGAGCAGGCCGCAATTAGCACAACAGAAAGGGTCCTGGGACTCAGAACGCGGCGCCATGGGCGGCCCCAGCCCTGCTGCTGGGAGCAGAGGCGGGGCCGCGCCACACACGCCTGGTTGCAACCGACATCTGTACGGCGCACGGCGCTACTGGCGCTGGTGCCCCGCAGGCGGCGCCGCGCGCCCTCCACCTGCCAACTCCTGTTTGCCCGCTCCTGGCCAGTCAGTGGTCGGGCAGCTGCCCGGCGTGTGCACGCCACCCGCAGCTTCTCTCCTGACGAACAGCGCCCCAGAATAAAAGGGATTCAAATAAAGCACATCTGTGCCCCTCGGCATCTCTGCTCCGCCGCCCGCGGCAGCGCCAGGCGTCGGATGCCAGCCGCCGCGTCGTTTGCGCGGCCGCGGCAGCTCAGGGCTCGGGCTCGGCCCCGGGCACCCACTCCTCGAACAGCCCGAGGGGCCCGCACGCGCCCTTCCCCTTGCCCTTGGCCTTGCCCGCGCCGGCCCCGGCCCCTGCGCAGCCGCAGCGGCCGTTGGCGGCCGGGCCGCACTTGTACGTCTCGAAGTAGCGCAGGCCAAACTTGGAGTCGCCCGCGATGCGCTCGAGGGTCTCAAAGTCGCAGGACACAACGCAGCCGTGGTCCGGCTCCACGTGGACGTCGCCTGGTGGATTGTGTGTGTGTGTGTGTGTGTGTGTGTGTGTGTGTGTG